CACACACACACACACACACACACACACACACACACACACACACACAGATACACAGATACACCCTACTCCCGGGCCTAGAGAAACAATGATGTCCTGAAATGCTGATCAGACTCCACCCGTCAGAGTGACACGAAATGACCCCTGGCCCGAGCACCGAATAGTTTGCACAACACAGCAACCGAGAGATCGACGCCGATTTCGAACGGGCGACGTCGTCCGCGAATCCGGCGCGCGCCGCGTTTCTGGCAACGATTTCACCGTGGCTACCGTCCTATGGTCATCTGTCTTAGGACTGTCTGCATCACCGCCGCCACCTGGTACGTGCCTCTCGGTCGCTCCTTCCTCCTTGGTAGCACCACCACACCCTACATCGGTGTCTCCCCAGCCGCTTGTGCTGCCGTTCCCGCCGCCACTACCACTTACACTCTTCGGAGTTGCGTTCTTCTGATTCTCTCGCTCTCCTCCGGTCCTGGTTCTGCTGTTCCAATCACCAGGAATGCAGTTGATGTTACTCGTCGCCGAATCCGTGACGAAACTCGCGGTGAAGCCTCCTCTCTGATGCTCTTTCAGGACTCTGCATAACCGTTGAATGACCCACGGCGGGATCAACAAGTCGCCCCCTGCACCCGCTTTGAGCTCCATACAATGAGTGACGTCGTCCTCACTGGAACCAGCCCGCGAAAACTCGCTCTCGCCAGTCGCTATGGCCGTCGTCGTGTCACCTGCTGCGGCAGATCCCCTTCTCCTCCTCCTCCCCACTTCATCTACTGCGTCGGCGGCGCCGCCGCCGCCGCCGCCACCAGCGGGACGTATCTTCTTCATGCGCCGGTAAACAACCTCCGTCGCTCTCAAAGTGCTGTTCTTGAACGGCACAGAAGAGTACAGAACGGGGACATCTCCCTGCGCGGCAGAGGCACCCGCAATGTACCTGTAGTTCAAGAGAAAATCGAATAACCGATGCACTCGTCTGTTCCCCTCGACGTGTAAGAGCGACCGACCGGTGTTATCAATACCTGAGAGAGAGTCGATCGTCCTTGTGCGCCCAGGATGTGCTCGCTCAAACTCCTGTAACTCCTTAAGCGCCTGCTTTTCAAAGACCGCGTCCTCGGCCCCGTGAGAGGAAGAGACGAGAGGCATTGTGAACTGGACATCCTGCTCTTCCAACAACTTGCGCAGCCCTTTCGTCGATCTGGTGAGCAGAGCAAAGCAGCCAGCAGGGCTCGCTCCCTCGCGTCGCACCGTGCGAGCGCCATTGCCACACCCACCCTCGCCGCCGCCGGTCACACTTCGGTCGCCGCCCTGCCTGGTTCGACTCGTAGTGCAGTGGCCGCCCGAGCAGAACATGGCAACGAACTGAGGGCTCTGATAGTAGAAGACGTCGCACGTCCCGTGTCGCAAGCCGTAATACAGAGAGCGAAATGCCTCCTCCCACAACCATACACGCTTGACGAGGAACTCCGATCCCAACCCTCCTCCTTTTGCTCCCCCCCCGGCTACCCTCGCTGCATTCTCTATAGACGCCAGCAAATGCTCCGCAAATTGATATTCTGGGTGCACCCACGATTGCAGGCAAGAGACAAATCGAGTTCCTCGACCCGTCGAGCTGCTCCTCCTTCTCCTCATCGCCTCTTCACCTCCTCCTCCTCCTCCTCCTCCTCGGCCTTCACTGTCACCAACACCGTGACCGTCAGAGAATACCCCATGCTCTTCGTAGGCGGCGCGGGGAAGACAAGAGTCGAAAAAATCCATCGTTCCCCAGCGCCTGAGTGCTTCCGACTCCTCTTGACCACTTGCCAGCTGGCACCAATCAAACGGTTCCGCTGAACAAAACCTGACACTCCTTTTAAGACTCAGATCGATCGGCGCCGCCACATCGTCGAACTCCATCGCGTCCGTCCCCACGTCATCGACGCGGGCCCGACCACCAGCGATACCAGCCAAAGGAGCGATGCCATCGCTCTCCTCGCCAGGCGCAGCAAGACCAAGACCCCTAGTGGCGGCGGCCGCCGCTGCAGCTACCCCTCCTCCCTTCTCCAAAGGCGATCCAGAAGGCAATGGAGAGCTAACTACAACTTTGTCTAATGCCATCTCTCGGATCGCTTGAGACATGTTAACCGTTGCTGACCCAGTAGCACCATTGCTGGCCAACCTTGAAGCCAGATCGGTGATGTTCTTAAATGAGCGTGTCTCCTTCGACACCGATTTCTCCCATGCCGTCATTACCGCAGCAGCCGCCCCGGCTGCGGGTCTGGTCGGCGTAGTCCTTTCCCCCGAGGCCCCCCCCCCTCCTCCCCCTCTTCCTATTGCTCTGTTCCTCTTGCCCGCCGATGCAAAGCCGCGCATTTGCTCTCGATCATCATCCTTCTCTAAAACAATGTCCTTTACATCGTCGTTATTACGACCATCGTTTTCTGATCTCAGAGCAGTTTGGCAAGACGACGGGTTATCAATACCCACCGAGCCGGAAGCCACCATCTCCCGTGCAAATAGCTTATCGCCTACCTTCATTGCTGATGATGAAAGAACCTTGTCGCTTCCAACCATCTCCCGTTGACCATTTCTCGCCTTTGCTGCAGGATAGATATCAAGAAGCTTTGCCTCCAGTTGCCGTCCAGAGGAAGCAACTTTGGCCACGTCGGCACCGCTACCACCACCAACCCCACCACCATAACCGTTCTCCGTTAGGGGAAAACAAGACCTTCTCGCCTGCTGCAGAGCAGCAGCGCCCATCTGAGCCGATGACGGCAAAGGCCCACGCTCGTCCGTTCCAGGACCCGACCCTGCAGCGCATCCTTGCTTCAGCCTCTTCATCTGCTCCATGCGCAATTCCATCGGTGTCTTCCTCTTCCCCGCTCGGCCACCACCCCCATGCACATCGCCACCCTGCATGACTGGCAGCACGTCCGCCATCGCTGCCAATCCCACACAGCCGAGGCCGCGCCCGAATCCTCTCTCTCTCTCTCTCTCTCTCTCTCTCTCTCTCTCTCTCTCTCTCTCTCTCTCTCTCTCTCTCTCTCTCTCTCTCTCTCTCTCTGTGTGTCTGTCTTATGGCGTGTACGCGCGCTGGTGTATCTGTGAAACTTCACGGCTTAATACGTCTCCAGTAAACAAAGCGACTTGGCGGCAAGACGACGATGTTGACGTCAGCCTGATTTCACAACAGACAGAGAGGATCATCCGTCTGCAAGTACTAGCGCAGAGGGCAGCCGGGGCGGGGCGGGGCGGGCCGACGGGAATGCATCTTTCTCAGCAGAACAGAAACTGTGAGGCAAGAGAATCCTTCGCTGCACTTGCTTCGATTGCGAGTCCCGCACAGGTAGAAGGTTCCCCCGTCGACATGGCAACCGTCTCCACCTCTCTTGTTCTTCCTTCTGTGGCCGTTCCATTGACAGGAGAGGGCAAAGTAGACTTGATGCATGACAGTGAATCCGATAGAGGGGCATGAGGAAACAATGGGAGAAATAATGGGAGCCTCGCACAGACGAAGGGGAGGGGAAAAGTGCTCAGACTACCTACTTTCAAGTAAAGATGCAAGAGGTGCCAATTATGGGTAGAAGAAATGTTTGCCTTCTTTTCATAGCAGAGGAAAGACGGAGAACGACACGTGGCAATTAGCCATAGAAACGAAAGAGAGAGCAAAACATGTCGATGAAAGGGTACCAAAGAACCCAGCTTCTTCTCTCTTGAAGGCCCATGTTCTGGCCGCACCCCATTTCTACAAGATTGCCGAAAGCACAGATGAGATAGCTAAGGCAGAAAATGGGAGACAGGCTAATGGGGTGTAGCTGATTGGTGATTGATTGACTGCAGGGCGGCTTTCAGAAAACACAGGAAGCCGCCACGTGGCAGCCTGAGCTGGCCCTAGACTGCATGATGTGGAAAACGAGAGGCTGGTTGTGACGGCCGTTGCAATAATAGACTGTGAGAGCAAGCGCCACAGAAACCATGTCCATGTCGAAGGACACGTGTCACCGCGATGACTATCAACTAAAACTGACGCGAGCAAAAGTGAAGGCTAATCTTCTGGGGCTTCCCTCCCCAACCGCCCTGACTAGCCATAGCTGCCGAACGAAGGAGACCAGCCACGTGTTCTCTCCTTGTCACACATGGGATCCAGAACAGACTATCTTTCATCACACACCGGGACGACATCCGCAAATCGCGCCCGCATCACCGCGCTGCTGATGCGCACGCAGGTCGCGTGATGAGGATAGCCTATCGAACTCGAACGTAGTCGAGGTGAGAAGATTTGGCAGCTTCCCGCCAATAGATGGAAAGAAACGGCACTCGGCGCCAATGGATGGAAAGAAACGGCACTCGGCAAAAAATGAAACTCCCTGCGCGGGAGAGACAAACAAAGCGGACCAAAAACTCGAAACCAAAACCAAAGCGGCTCCGACTGCACGTGGGCGACCTCTGTGCAGGGAACACGGCCTCCGCATCAGACAACTGGAAAATCCGGAAACGGTGATAGTTTGCCCGTAGCTTATTTTTTGCAGGACCCTGGAAAAAGGTCGTCTTTACTGCAGTAGCCTTGAACCCACCCTTCAAGGTTGGGCTGCGGAAAATCATCCCATGACCGATAATGTATGTGCATGAAAAATAGGGGTTGTCTTGGGCAGGCGAGGGGTTGGGGCTGCCATTGGCGACAAAAATCGCCGGCATGGGGAGGCATGGGGAAAAGATTGAACCACCAGTTCGCAGCCCGTCAGGGGTGCGTTTTATCCACCTGTCATTGAAATTTCAAAGTCGGTTGTTGGCGAGGGTGGGCATTATGAGGTTTTGGGGCCTTGCAAGAGGCAGGACCGCGTAAGACAGGTACCTGCCCGTAGGAGGCCGAGGAGGCCGCGGTCCTTGAGTTTTGAACATTTTGAAATCGAAATGAAGAGCACTTCAAATAGAACGCGTACTATTTGAATTTCGAAAAGAAAACAGTTTCGTATTCCAATAACATTACCGTTTTTTGTTTTTTTTTTCCGAGAGGTCAGCGCCTGCCCTTGTGCTCCCCGCCACATGCTGCATGTTGCAGGGCTCTCTCTCT